AACATTCAATGAAAACAAAAACAAGAGGAGATAATCAACAGAACATTCAATGAAAACAAAAACAAGAGGAGATAATCAAAAAAAGCCACGAATTGCAAGACAACGTCACGCGCCACGATGACATGCTGAAGGTTAAGGGTTAAGGTCGAGAGAATAGTCGTCAATGCACCGGGTTTTATCCCATCTAGCAGGGTCACTTTTTGCGAAACAGCTAGCCTTCCTGAGAGCGTCGCAAAAAGCACCAAAGCACGAAAACCGTAGCTCTGGCGACGATCACCGTGGGTCTCAGTAAAAATTGCGAAAGATCCAGCCGGAAAGCGACCCCACGACTTTCAGAGCGCCAGGCAAACACCTTGACCATTTACCCACGGTGCACCACCCGCTCCTCCTCCCAACCTTCCCCCCCCCCCCCCCGCCCGCCCACTTTCAGCACAACGAAGCGTAAGGTTTAAAAGCCAGGTCCCGGAAAAAGTTACGCACTCAAACATTTTCATTGTTCTTGCGTTGATCAATTTGTTTGCTTTCGACTAGGTCTCGTGCCATCTGGGAAAACAGAGCACGCCATTTGTATTCCGAACCTACGGCCGCTTGTTTCTGTGTCTGTAATTGGCAGGACAGTCAAGTTTGAAGAATGTCAAGTGAATTAGTTTTGAAAAAAGCTTCTGTCTGTTTTTGGCGGTTGATTCTGATCTGATTTGAAATACAAGCTACGTGACTGTTTATTTGGTGTCAACAAAACACATGCAGCCACCATTGTCTTGCGTGAGGAAATTATTGTACAAGAGAGAGCACTCTAACAATTGATACCAGCAGCGAGACCTGTCTCTCCAAGGTTTTACCATTGCGTCAGTTGCGAACAAATAACTCTCTCTTTCACTCTCTCTCCTCTCTCTCTCTCTCTCTCTCTCTCTCTCTCTCTCTCTCTCTCTCTCTCTCTCTGTGTGTGTGTGTGTGTGTGTGTGAGATAGCGAATATTTCTAGATGTGCTTTGCGTACCATATACTTAAAAAAAAAAGCTAGTCTTGAAATGTGAACCAGGGTCATTGCACACGGTTATAAACCATAACTGCTCTGCCACCAGTATGGACAGCTGATAAGAAACTGTCTGCCTGTGTCGCCGTCCGCACGTAACTCCGTAGCTACAGAAACGTTCCTCCATTTACCCCAGAGTGTCAACTCTGGTACCCATTTCCTAGAGGCTGGGTGAATCCAGGAAACCACCCGGTTTCGAACACCGACCGTGGGCTGCAGCGAGTCGCGGCTGGATTTGAAAGAAAGCCTCCTATCGACTGCGCTAACGCGGCTCGTATATACTTCAAAAAAGACGCTCGGTTGACCCAGGAGGTTCCGGGGCCCTATTGTTAGGGAAAACAAAAATATGCCAAATCCCTCCTCAATAAGCATGTCGTATGAGCAGACTTATTGGAATCTTCCTTCGAAGTTGTAGCGCACGTCCCTGAGCGGTAAGGGACAACCATCTGCACGCAGATACGCCAGTAAAACGGATGTGTAGATAATCTCAGGCAGTGGCACAAAAGCAAAGTCTAACTGGACGATCAGCTAAGACTTTCCACGGGAGCTTACAGTCGGTGAGCACAGAAGAGGTAGGAGACCCAGTCTGTAACGGGTATGTAAACATGATCCTTCGCATCGACTTAGCCACAGAGCCGACAGGTCGGGAAACATGATCCCGTGCTCAAGCAGGACGGAGGTGTGAAACTGTTCATCCACTGCTCGCCGACTGGTTGGTGAAAGTGGGCGACTGGCACATTGTAATCAACTCCTTGCAAGGGGAGACAAGCCTCAAGTAACTTCACTTTGTTTTAGAATTTTAACATTTTTTTGTTCTTGATTGGTTTTTTTTTTTTTTTATTTAAGAAACTTGCTCCAATCTTCCGACCCACAATTCATCACTTGTTCTTGTCTTCCCACCCACCGGCCCGACCCTGCTCCTTGCCCTCCTTGTTGTTGAGACAGAAATGAGAAACGATTCTGCAGATTCAGACGTTGACAGTAACCAGTAGCGGGCAAACCTTTGTTTGTCTCGTGTTTTCTTTGTTAGTCACGTGATCTCTCCATGTTGGAGTGATGGCTATGATTTTCAAATCATGACAGACAGTCAGAAAGATGGGCTATCCTCCGAATTCATAAAAGGTTAGTTGCGTATCCTTTACAGGACGTTGCCGAACCAACCCCAACTGCCCTGGCTGTTGTGTGTTTTCTCTAGGCAAATTTACGTCCAGTAGTTTGCCATTGCTCCCTGATACCACTGTCGAAACTAACGCGGGGCGCATAGTCCGCAGCTGGGATCGAACCTGGCACCTCGGCATTACAAAACGTTCGCATCGACTTAGCCACAGAGCCGACTATCCTATCCATCTTTCGGCTATCCTCCGAATAACGGTCCCAAATTATCAAGGCCGAAAATATACCCTAACAGGGCCTCAGTCACATGTCAATTGCGAACTTCCGGCGACTTAAATTGCGCACTTCCGGCGACTTCCGCCACCGCCGAGAGTATCTCGGATTGGAGCTAAACAAGATGGCTGGGACTCACGAGCAGAAGCTACCGCATCTCCTGCAGCTTCCTTTAATTTATTTGCTCGTGAGTCCCAGCCATCTAGTATAGCCCCAGTCCACGAGTAGGGAGATACTCTCGGCGGTGGTGGTTTGGTCGCAAGTTCGCAATTGACACGTGACAGAGGCCCTGTTAGAGTATTTTTTGACCTGTGTCCCAAATCTGTCTGGCTGGTGTGTCAAAAACCTGTCCGGCTGCTGTGTCCCGAACCTGTCCGGCTAGTGTGTTCCAAACCTGTCCGGCTGCTGTGTCCCGAACCTGTCCGGCTAGTGTGTTCCAAACCTGTTGGCTGGTGTGTCACGAACCTGTCCGGCTGGTGTGTCCCAACCCTGTCCGGCTGCTGTGTCCTAAACCTGTCCGGCTGATGTGTCCCAACCCTGTCCGGCTGGTGTGTCCCAACCCTGTCCGGCTGCTGTGTCCTAAACCTGTCCGGCTGATGTGTCCCAACCCTGTCCGGCTGATGTGTCCCAACCCTGTCCGGCTGATGTGTCCCAACCCTGTCCGGCTGGTGTGTCACGAACCTGTCCGGCTGCTGTGTCCTAAACCTGTCCGTCTGATGTGTCCTAAACCTGTCTGGCCGATGTGTCCTAAACCTGTCCGGCTGATGTGTCCTAAACCTGTCTGGCCGATGTGTCCTAAACCTGTCCGGCTGATGTGTCCTAAACCTGTCCGGCTTATGTGTCCCAAACCTGTCCGGCCGATGTGTTCCAAGCCTGTCCGGCTGGTGTGTCCCGAGCATGTCCGGCTGGTGTGTCCCAAACCTGTCCGGCTGGTGTGTCTCAAACATGTCCGGCTGGTGTGTCCCGAACCTGTCCGGCTGGTGTGTCCCGAACATGTCCGGCTGGTGTGTCCCGAACCTGTCCTACGGTGTGCAGATTTCCCTTCAGTAGTCTGAATCATTCACTTCGATTTCTCTCAGTGTGAAAAACCCCGGTGAGTTCTGTTTTGTGTCCAAGTTTCGTTCCGTTAAAGAGCGTATGTTTTTCTTTTTTTTGCGCATGTCATAGCACTGTGTGCGGGCGCGTCTGTATGTGTGTGTGTGTGTGTGTGTGTGTGTGTGGTTATTTTTCTACTGAATTTCTAATTCTGAGGAGTCCAGGCTTGATGTTGCTCAACTCAACTTCTAGATAAATACATGATCCGGCCACACGCAAGTAGATCAGTTCATACATGACCTGCAAGGCTATAGCTACAACTTGATCAGATGGACTAGAGACACTTTAGATATTTTAATCGAGTGCCCCTGCCCGTGTATTGGTATGTTGCCTTCCTGTTCATTTGTTTCGCATTCTATATTGCCGTTCTAAATTTTAGTTCACAACACCAGCCTACTTGAATTAGCTATGCTGCCTTGTCTGTTCAGTTTTCCATGTCCAGTTTGTGATGTATTTCGTGTTCCGTTGATAAAGACTTTGGTCAAAACATTCAGTTGTGTTTGTGTGCATCTTTTCCATTCTCTCCGTTGAGCTTTGTAGTCACTTGTGTTGTTATGTTAAACATTTCTTGCTATCAGCTGGACTGTAATCAGCCCTTTTTTACGTCATCGGTTGGGATCATAACCGTGCCATGGATATGTTATAAGACCTACATAAGTTATCATATCTCAATGACTACCATGAGCTAAATGATTCAAAGATTAACTGAATCGACCTGCTAATATCTTACTGACTAACCTGAGCTAATCGATTCAAAGATTGACTGAATCGACCTGCTAATATCTTACTGACTAGCCTGAGCTAATCGATTCAAAGATTGACTGAATCGACCTGCTAATATCTCACTAATTGCAGTTGTTGTTTGGCAGGTAAACTGGTGGTGTTCCTGGAGAGCCTTGTCACCGTGGCCTCCATCCTCATCATCCTAACCGTCAGTCTGGAGCGTTTCTGGGCCGTCTACTACCCGCTCAAGACCTACTCCAGGGGTTCAAAGTTCAAGGCTGTCATTAGCATGTCTGTTGTTTGGACAATAGCTGCCGTGACAACACTGCCCTTGCTGGTAAGTTTCTATGATGTCCATATTTCGGGAGGGGTGGGGAGGGAGGGGGGTTACACTGTCCATCTTACTGGTCAGTCTTTAGAATGTCCATCTTACTGGTCAGTCTTTAGAATGTCCATCTTACTGGTCAGTCTTTAGAATGTCCATCTTACTGGTCAGTCTTTAGAATGTCCATCTTAATGTCAGTCTGTACACTGTTCATCTTACTGGTCAGCCTTTAGAATGTCCATCTTACTGGTCAGGTTTTAGAATGTCCATCTTACTGGCCAGTCTTTAGAATGTCCATCTTAATGGTCAGCCTTTAGAATGTCCATCTTACTGGCCAGTCTTTAGAATGTCCATCTAACTGGTCAGCCTTTAGAATGTCCATCTTACTGGTCAGTCTTTAGAATGTCCATCTTACTGGTCAGCCTTTAGAATGTCCATCTTACTGGCCAGTCTTTAGAATGTCCATTTTAATGTCGGTCTTTAGAATGTCCACCTTAATGTCAGTCTTTAGAATGTCCACGTTAACTTCAGTATGTAGAATGTCCACCTTAATGTCAGTCATTAGAATGTCCACCTTAATATCAGTCTTTAGAATGTCCACGTTAACTTCAGTATGTAGAATGTCCACCTTAATGTCAGTCTTTAGAATGTCCACGTTAACTTCAGTATGTAGAATGTTCACCTTAATGTCAGTCTTTAGAATGTCTACGTTAACTTCAGTATGTAGAATGTCCACCTTAATGTCAGTCTTTAGAATGTCCACCCTAATGTCAGTCTTTAGAATGTCCACCTTAATGTCAGTCTTTAGAATGTCCACGTTAACGTCAGTACCTAGAATGTCCACCTTAATGTCAGTCTTTAGAATGTCCACGTTAACTTCAGTCTTTAGAATGTCCATGTTAATGTCAGTCTTCAGAATGTCCACGTTAACTTCAGTATGTAGAATGTCCACGTAAACTTCAGTATGTAGAATGTCCACCTTAATGTCAGTCTTTAGAATGTCCACGTTAATGTCAGTCTTTAGAATGTTCACCTTAATGTCAGTCTTTAGAATGTCCACGTTAATGTCAGTCTTAAGAATGTCCACCTTAATGTCAATCTTTAGAATGTCCACCTTAATGTCAGTCTTTAGAATGTCCACCTTATTGTCGGTCTTTAGAATGTCCACCTTAATGTCAGTCTTTAGAATTTCCATGTTAACTTCAGTACGTAGAATGTCCACCTTAATGTCAGTCTTTAGAATGTCCACCTTAATGTCAGTCTTTAGAATGTCCACCTTAATGTCAGTCTTTAGAATGTCCACGTTAATGTCAGTCTTTAGAATGTCCACCCTAATGTCAGTCTTTAGAATGTCCACCTTAATGTCAGTCTTTAGAATCCACCTTAATGTCAGTCTTTAGAATTTCCACGTTAACTTCAGTACGTAGAATGTCCACCTTAATGTCAGTCTTTAGAATGTCCACCTTAATGTCTGTCTTTAGAATGTCCACCTTAATGTCAGTCTTTAGAATCCACCTTAATGTCAGTCTTTAGAATTTCCACGTTAACTTCAGTACGTAGAATGTCCACCTTAATGTCAGTCTTTAGAATGTCCACCTTAATGTCAGTCTTTAGAATGTCCACCTTAATGTCAGTCTTTAGAATGTCCACGTTAACTTCAGTCTTTAGAATGTCCACCTTAATGTTAGTCTTTAGAATGTCCACATTAACTTCAGTCTTTAGAATGTCCAAGTTAACTTCAGTATGTAGAATGTCCACCTTAATGTCAGTCTTTAGAATGTCCACCTTAATGTCAGTCTTTAGAATGTCCACGTTAACTTCAGTCTTTAGAATGTCCACGTTAACTTCAGTCTTTAGAATGTCCACCTTAATGTCAGTCTTTAGAATGTCCACCTTAATGTCAGTCTTTAGGATGTCCACGTTAACTTCAGTCTTTAGAATGTGCACGTTACCTTCAGTCTTTAGAATGTCCACCTTAATGTCAGTCTTTAGAATGTCCACCTTAATGTCAGTCTTTAGAATGTCCACGTTAACTTCAGTCTTTAGAATGTGCACGTTAACTTCAGTCTTTAGAATGTCCACGTTAACTTCAGTCTGTAGAATGTCCACCTTAATGTCAGTCTTTAGAATGTCCACTTTAATGTCAGTCTTTAGAATGTCCACCTTAATGTTAGTCTTTAGAATGTCCACCTTAATGTCAGTCTTTAGAATGTCCACCTTAATGTCAGTCTTTAGAATGTCCACCTTAATGTTAGTCTTTAGAATGTCCACCTTAATGTCAGTCTTTAGAATGTGCACGTTAACTTCAGTCTTTAGAATGTCCACGTTAACTTCAGTCTTTAGAATGTCCACGTTAACTTCAGTCTTTAGAATGTCCACCTTAATGTCAGTCTTTAGAATGTCCACGTTAACTTCAGTCTGTAGAAAGTCCACCTTAACGTCAGTCTTTAGAATGTCCACCTTACTGGACAGTGTGTAGTGTGATCCTGTGATCCTCCGGCGATAGCAGATTATCAGTGGACAAACGATCACCATCCGGATAGTTAGGCAACTTCTTCGTCTTCTTCGATCCTTCTGCCAGAAAACTTATATCAGGAGGCCGGTAGCCTTTATGAAAGCTATCGTGCAATCCATATCCTCTTGTGTACCATACAGTTTTGTCTCCATACAGAAGAATGGGCTCCACACAGAAGAATGGGCTCCACACAGAAGAATGGGCTCCACACAGAAGAATGGACACCACACAGAAGAATGGGCTACACACAGAAGAATGGACACCACACAGAAGAATGGACACCACACAGAAGAATGGGCTACACACAGAAGAATGGACACCACACAGAAGAATGGGCTACACACAGAAGAATGGGCTACACACAGAAGAATGGGCACCACACAGAAGAATAGGCTCCACACAGAAGAATGGACACCACACAGAAGAATGGACACCACACAGAAGAATGGACATCACACAGAAGAATGGACACCACACAGAAGAATGGACACCACACAGAAGAATGGACACCACACAGAAGAATGGACACCACACAGAAGAATAGGCACCACACAGAAGAATGGACACCACACAGAAGAATAGGCTCCACACAGAAGAATGGACACCACACAGAAGAATGGACACCACACAGAAGAATGGGCTCCACACAGAAGAATGGACACCACACAGAAGAATAGGCTCCACACAGAAGAATGGACACCACACAAGAAACATAGTAGAACAGACCGCACACAATTTTTCAGTGTACTGGTGATGTAGATAATGCTTGAAGACAAACCTGACATTTGAAGGATAATGACTTGTGTATTGTTCTCTCTCTCACACTGAAATGTTGAAGGTATTCTGTAAATAATTCTTGTGAAGTAAACAGATGTTGATGCTAAGCATTTTCGGGTGCCACGCTGCAGGGACACGTCTCCGTATTTCCTACAATGAAAAATATGAACATATGATGACGAAATCTGTTGTGCCCAGTCCTTAGTCTGAATATAATACACTGTCCCTCTCTAGAGAGGCGATGAAGTGAGTCTTGGGGAGAAAATCTGGTGTGGGTATCCAGCCACCTTTCTTGGATACTAGATTGTATTAGTGTTTTCATCTCTTGGTGGGTTAAGTCTCTATTTGGTTGTAACATGTCACTGCCGCTTCTGGCCAATCTGTCCGCTATTTCATTGCCTTCCAAGCCACAGTGACCTGGAATCCACTGCAGTACAGATTGTTCTACTGAAGAGCCTAAGTAAATCAGCTGTTGCGTCAAGTCTACAAACTGTGTGTCTTTTGGGTTAGCAATTCTTGTAGAACTGACATAGCATCAGTCAGAAAGACCACTCTACTATATTTGCTGTGCTGTTGCCCATTCAGGAAAGAACATGCCGCTAGAAGTGCTTCTGCCTCTGCTCTGTAATTGGAGGAATATGAACCTGTTGGTAGAGCCTGGTTGATTTTTAAACCATTTGGGCATTCTATGTATATTCCTCCTCCTCCGTCTCTTACTGCTCTCTTGGCTGAACCATCTGTATACACTCGAATCCAACTCTGGTGTGGGTAAAGTCTATTGATCTCTCCTTCTGTAGTTGATTTCATATCAGTGCTGCTCATTGATGATTTGGAGGAGACCCCTGTTACAGTGGTTCTGGCTGTTGGCAGGTTATCTCTGAGCCAAGAGGGGGGGGGAGTCGTCATAGGGTTTCAGTGGAACATTTGGTATTATAGGAGGGAGTTTAATGACAGCGAGCTTGGCATTTGTGTTCTTTATGAAACAGGTTCTCTTTAGTCTAGCTTTCTGCAGTCGGCTGTACATGGGTTGTTCTTTAAAGTGGTGGTATTAGAAAAGTTGGGTGAGGAGCTTTGTGTCCCTTCTGTCTTCCAGATCCTGAAGACCAGTAAATGTTTCCATATCTGATATGGGCGTGGGGAGCATTGCCCCTGTCATAATACGGAGAGCATGGTTTTGGATCTTTGAGACTTTCTGAAAATTTGATTTAGCTGCTGTACTCCAAGCAGCTATTCCATATTCTAGTGTTGGCCTCACATAGCCTGTATAGTTGCTCTTGAGGACACCAAGGTTTGCCCCCCAGTCTGTTCCAGCTAACTTCCTCATCAGTTGTGTTCTCTTGAGTCCCTTACTCTGTGTCTTTTCTATCTGTTTTATCCATGTGAGTCTTGAGTCAAAGGTTACTCCTAAATATGACGGTGAGTCATCATGTTTCAGTGCCTGGCTGCCATATGTCCCAGCTTGTCACAGGTTCACACACATGTCCCAGCTTGTCCCTAGTTCACACACATGTCCCAGCTTGTCCCTAGTTCACACACATGTCCCAGCTTGTCCCTAGTTCACACACATGTCCCAGCCTGACTCTAGTTCACACACGTCCCTTTTCTTTCCCACTGCGGATGAAAACATGTTTGATATGCGTCATGCTTTAAAAAAGGTGACACATTGACCGATGTTATCTGTTAGGGAGACAAGAAGTTGACCGATGTTATCTGTTAGGGAGACAAGAAGTTGACCGATGTTATCTGTAAGGGAGACAAGAAGTTGACCAATGTTATCTGTTAGGGAGACAAGAAGTTGACCAATGTTATCTGTTAGGGAGACAAGAAGTTGACCGATGTTATCTGTTAGGGAGACAGAAAGTTGACCAATGTTATCTGTTAGGGAGACAAGAAGTTGACCAATGTTATCTGTTAGGGAGACAAGAAGTTGACCGATGTTATCTGTTAGGGAGACAAGAAGTTGACCGATGTTATCTGTAAGGGAGACAGGAAGTTGACCGATGTTATCTGTTAGGGAAACAAGAAGTTGACCGATGTTATCTGTTAGGGAGACAAGAAGTTGACCGATGTTATCTGTTACGGAGACAAGAAGTTGACCGATGTTATCTGTTAGGGGGACAAGAAGTTGACCGATGTTATCTGTTAGGGAGACAAGAAGTTGATCGATGTTATCTGTTAGGGAAACAAGAAGTGGATCGATGTTATCTGTTAGGGAGACAAGAAGTTGACCGATGTTATCTGTTAGGAAGACAACAAGTTGACTGATGTTATCTGTTAGGGAGACAAGAAGTTGACCGATGTTATCTGTTAGGGAGACAAGCAGTTGACCGATGTTATCTGTTAGGGAGACAAGAAGTTGACCGATGTTATCTGTTAGGGAGACAAGAAGTTGACCGATGTTATCTGTTAGGGAGACAAGAAGTTGACCGATGTTATCTGTTAGGGAGACAAGAAGTTCACCGATGTTATCTGTTAGGGAGACAAGAAGTTGACCGATGTTATCTGTTAGGGAGACAAGAAGTTGACCGATGTTATCTGTTAGGGAGACAAGAAGTTGATTGATGCTATCTGTTGGGAGACAAGAAGTTGACCGATGTTATCTGTTA